TTATAACGCAATAAACGCTTCTTTTTAGTGTTGCTTGTTTATTTTACGAGCTGTACTTGAATGCACCGGGAAGTCATATGCCCCGCCTACATACTGAGCCGTAAGGAGTAGAGTAGCAGCGCAAGTTTTAATTATTTATACTTCCTTTTTTGAACTGTAAAGCATCGATGGCGTGACAGCGACGCTCTTCAGCTACTGTCAATAGAAAATGTTGATGGAGGAACACACTCAGACGTGTAGAGAGAACAGATCTAGCAACGACTGGAGACAGCCGCGGGAGACACACTCTTTCCATTGTGGAAAGAACAACCGCAGACATGATTGGCCGCAGATCGGTGACTAAACAGGAAGCGAGTTTAAATGAAAATGAGCGAAAGAGCGTCGTCCTACATATTCTGTTTTCAGTCCCACAGTTCGGCTGCACAGATTAGGTTAGTATATATTATTTAATGATGGTAAATATAGTTTAGCGACAGCTTTCGGGTAGCTAATGTTTATGTTTGTAGCTTAGCTTGCTAAGTGACAAAAATGAGCCGTGCATCCATTAGGCTACAATAATAATAAAATACCACACAGCTAAATGGACTGTTAGCATCTGGACTAATGGCAGATTTACACAAACCCACTTTTTACTCACATGTTTATCTGCTGCAGTTAGTATTTAGCTGTTGTCACCTTTGATGGAAAATACAACTAAAATGCCAATGGTTACATGATTAAATCTCTTAACGATTTATTATGGCTCAATCAAGGCTTGACCATGTGATAATCTTAATAATATTTTTGTTAAAGTAACTGTGTTTGAATTATAATTGAATTGAACGGATAGGTAATTAAACAAGATATAAACAAATTAATACAGCTTGTTCTAATTGGTTACTAATGCGTATGCGTTAAATGGCACTTGTGATGTCATGTGGGATCTTGTTACACCGCTAGTAATTAGAGCTGCCACATACGATTATTTTTATAGTCTAATCACGATTATTTTTCGATTAGTCGACTAATCAGATCATACGGTAATTGAATATAAAACATAGAGCTTATCGCGCCAGAATGCAGCTGCTGTTATATAACCATCATTAAATTTTAGCTATATGCTAATATATATATAGCTGTGGAAGGCAGGTTCTTCTCTTTCATTTTCTTAAAAAGATCCCACACTTTGAGCTCTGTTGTCAGGTAGCCATGATACCAGAGCCTGTCTGTATAAAGTCTTGTGACGTCCACGGCCTACCCCAGTTACCACTACTGTGCATGTGTGTCAAGGACAGAAAGGCAGATGTGGCAGTGGAAGGTGTCAAAGCAGTTTGGAGAGAAAAACTAAGTAAAGAACAAAAAAAAAAACCAAAAAACAATTAATCGATTTTTAAATTAGTCATAGATTATTTTAATAATCGATTAGTCGTCGATTAATCGACTAATCGTGGCAGCCCTACTAGTAATAATGCAAGTGATGTTTGTGTGAATATAAAGTTAACATTGTCCTTATTGTGCATGTTTGTCCGTGTAATCATCAGAGGACGATGATTAAAAAAGAATCGCCTGAAGAATGGAGGCCTGGCGTCGACCTGCAGGAGCCAGAGCTCATCATCGTAAAGGAGGAAGAGGAGGAACCGTGGACCAGTCTGGAAGGACGGCAGCTCGATGTGAAGGAGGAGGCTGACGCCACTAAGTTTTCATTCACCACAGTTTCTTTGAAGAGTGACTATGATGAAAAACCTCTGCTCTCGCCTCTTCTTCAGCACCAAATGGAAGACGGAGATCTTTCAACCAGCAGCTCAGCTGACCAGATGGAAGCAACGACTGGTGAAGCAGACAGTGGAGGAGGAGAAACTACCAGGAACCCAAGTCTGAATTCTCATCTTGATGATTCCAGCTCTTCAGAGACTGAAGTTAGCGACTGTTGTGAAGATGAAGAGGATGAGAACCATTCTGACTCTGGGCTGAAAGGACTTTCGGATTTTGAGCCAATACCTGAAGACAGTGATGAAGACTGGAAGGAGAGCAAGTCTCCTGAGTTGGGTGTAAACAAATCGTTCAGCTGTTCTGAGTGTGGTAAACAGTTCCTCCACGTTCAGTCTCTTCAGAAACACATGAGCAGTCATTCAGGAGTAAAGGCTTCAAGTTCTTTGGTTAAAAAGAGTTTTGATGTGGAGTCACAACAGAGACTCCAGGTAGCGCAGAAATCGTTTAGTTGTGACGACTGCGATGAAAACTTCACCAGAAAAACAGATCTAAACACACACAAAAGGATCCACACAGGACAAAAAACATTTGTTTGCGATGTTTGTGAACGACGGTTCAGCTACAAGTCCAGGTTAGACGCACACACGAGAATCCACACAGGAGATCAGCCGTTTGTTTGTGATGTTTGTGGGCAGAGGTGCAGCGGGAAGGCCCATTTAAACCGACACATGAGAATCCACACAGGACAGAAACCCTTCACCTGTGATTTCTGCGAGCGAAAGTTCAGCCAAAGGGGAAGTTTAAACATACACATTAGAATCCACACGGGACAGAAACCGTTCGCTTGTGACGTCTGCGAGCGGCAGTTTAGCCAAAGGACGGACCTGAACCGGCACGCCAGAATCCACACGGGAGACAAGCCGTTTGCTTGTCGTGTTTGTGGACGACAGTTCAACCAAAAGGGAAATTTAAACACACACATGAAGACCCACACAGAAAACAAAGCACTCGTTTGCAATGATTCTTAAAACACAATAGTCCACCTAAGAGAGAAAACACTAACTGTGGACAATGAGACGTTTAGGGGTGTTAGTGTACATTTATATTACAATATTAAACCGGTTTTTGACACATGTAGCACACTGTTTATTTCAAGTTAGGAGAGTAAGAAAATATGCTATTTGTTTTTAATAATAGTATTAGCCTGTTAACACATCCTTGCTGTACGTGATCTGCTACGTTATAGCCTTTCCAAAACATTGACTTTACAGCCATTTGTTGCACCTGTCCACGTTTTTTTCTTAATTTAATATTATCCTTTTTTAAGCATTTAGTATGCTTACTATGTGACATTCTAAATAAAAAATGGATTTCTGTAATCTGCAAATCATTGGAATCTGTTCTTATTTACAGATTATTTGTTCTGCAATTGGGATTGTATTTATGCATTTGAGTATTTATAGCCTTCCTCAACGTCTCCTTTGTCAGATCTGGTGCCACACGAGAGAGAGAGTCAGGCTGATTAGGTGTCTGACCTGGAACCTTACAAAGAATAACTTTTGCTGTAAACTTCAGCCGCTGATAAAAAACAAAAAGCAGTCCAGTCAGACATTAATCACTAATAGTTATAAAGAAAGAGGCCGTACTGTGATATAAATATAACAAAATAGGACTGGACATTTTTGCATGAAGTTTAAAAAAGAAAGCACAAGTTAATTACCAATAAGACAATTTCATGTCCTGACAGGCATTTATCTCTCACTATGACTGAGATCCTATTTTAGGAAGGCGGGTTATGATCGCGTTGTGTTGTTTATAGACCAGAGTTCGACTGTGGCAGTGAGGGAGCGAGGGTCTCTGGTTTCGTGAAGGCCTCTTGTGTGGACTAAACATGGAAATTGAGCTATAAGTCCGAAAGAACTGCTTTCTTAGGAGATTTACTGGATAAAACCCTGTGATTTCATTTGAAGGTAAGGTTTCTTTGTCACAAGCTTCTAAGCACTGCATGGTTTTGGGCAGGGGTCTGCAACTTTCACCGTCAAAAAAAAAAGCCATTTATGTTCCTAAATAAAATCGAATCAGAGTCAGAAAACTAGTAGGATTGTGGTCAACTCATGGCAATGGGGCCACTTCCAGTTCTCTGCGTGGGACTTTTAAGGAAAGCGAGGACCTTAGAAGCCTGAAATAAAGATGGCATTACATATGAGTTTTAGATACGGCATTTAAAATTAAATTGTTACATTTATTGTTTTTTATATATATTTTAGGAGAGAAGAAAAGACTGTCTATGTAAATAAAACCAGAAAAACATTTTATAGTTTATGCTTTAACTAAATTAAAACACTAAGGCCTGTGTGAGCCCTTTTTTCTTTTTTAAAAAAATAATGAAAGGTCCTTTTTTAAAAATAAAGCACACAGTTAAAGTGAATATAAAAAGCTTGTGTTTAATTATAACTTGTTGATTTATTGTAACTCGGCTTTCTAATTAGGGCTCCTGGTTTACTCTGATTTATATGAAATATATATATATTTTAGGAAAAATGGAGAAAAAGCTCCTGTCCACACCCACCATCATCAGCTCCTCAGGGTCAAGCTCTGTCCTGAAGGGCCCCTCTTCTCCACCTGTCTCCAGTGACCCCTGTGCTGCGCAGACTCAGCAGGACAAATCAACAGCTTCAGCAAACCCCGGACAACCAGTGGAGTCCTCGTCACCTCCACGCTCCACGTCTCCTGCCTCCTCCACACCAGCAGCTTCAGGCTCTGACCTTCAGCCCGGTTCTGTCCTCCCTCCAGCTGCAGCTGCTCCCACAAAGCGCACCTTTGCTTCTGTAGCCAAGCGGGTGATCGTGCAGGAGAGGCTCAGGAAAGCAGAGGAGGAGGATGCCCACGATGAAGAGGATGGTGAGGATATCTTTGTTGCTGTTGTATTGAGTTGATGAACTTTATTCCAAGAGTTGCAGCGTGAGGATATTTCTTTCAGCCAACTGGGTTCTCATTTGGAATTTTCTGGGAATTTTATTTCTCAGTATAAGATTGTTTAAATTTAAATCTCTGACCTGAAAGGTGACAGGCAATATGCATTTATTCTAGTAATAATGGGTCTTTATTAGACATTGTAGATTGACTTGAATGCATCTTGATAGCCCTTATTTATGACAGGTTTTGTTGCACATAGGTCTAAATGTATGCAACACAAGAATTTCCAATGGATTAATTAATAAATGATTTTGGCTCAACATGGTTTGCATGTCTTTCATCAGCACGTTAACCTTTGTGAGCATTCTGGCCAATCACAGACAGCTGCTCAGTGGCTCACAGAGCAGCCATCATGTTGAATTTCTCATGTATATGGTTCTAAATGTAGAAATACTAAGATGTTTGTGTGTAATATTGATCATTTTTAGCTGATAATATATTTCAGAGACACCTACATAGTTTACATAAAAAAGGTTGGTGTAATTGATAAGAATTTGTGTGACACTGTAGCAGGCCATAACTTCAGCTCCAGAGTTACACCACAGAAAGCCTTTACAACGAGGCAGGCGTGTTTAAAATTCACACACTCTCACGTCTTCTCAGCCTCTGACTTCTTGCTGCGCTCAAGTTGCAGGAAAATGCGTCTGGTGGGAGTTGATCACTTTTTGGACGCAACTTCAGGACGTGAAGGAATACTCGAGCGGCGCTGCCTCGAAATAAGAAAGACGGATCCCACAGGTTCTAACCCAGGGAGGACCGGCTGAGATGTTCACTCTTTTTGATCTCTTGTCAGACGAAGAACCAGAGGAGGAGCTGAGTGTGGAGCAGCTGGAGGAGAAGGCCGGATCTGGGGATGCCAGAGCTCAGACACGGGTGAGTAACACACACACACACACAAACAAACATAAACATGCATGCACAGACTGCCTCCTGGCATCGTTGTCAGTCCTGCTGGCTGACTCAGTCTTGGTGCGGTTCTATTTTCTGCAGCTTGAAAGCTGATCCCAAAGGATTCCGGTGTAATACATTGTATTCTAGCACATTAAGAAATCATTTTAAAAAAAGAGCATGTGCTGAATTTGTCCCAAAAATGATTACATATTCTCTCCGGTTTAACTTGTAATTAAGACGTGCCACCTCTGATTTTTCAGTCACATTTTCAAGCTACAAGTTTTGATTTTAATAAGTGTGTGTTTGTGTGAGTGAAAGCTCTATCACATCAGTCAACACAGCTGCAGAGTACATTAGGCTTGGTCTTCCAGTGACGTCTCATGTGTCACAACACAAGCCTGTTTCAGAGTGTACCTACATGTTAATGTGGCAGTACATTAATAAACGACGAATCATTTTATTTTTGTAAAAGTTTCCAGGACAGAATCTGTTGCAAGAAAGAGGAGACGTTTGTTAATAACTGTGTGGGAATGTGAACCCTGAGGCCTCAGCTGCCCCTGTTAGTTAGCCAGGACAGGAACCCTGACAGTCCCCTGCCCCAAAGAATTATGGACTTTGTAGTTTTTTTTGTCTACATAAGAAGAAAAGAAGGAAATTTAAAGAGAGCTGGATTTGTCTTAGGTTCTGGTCAAAAACACCGTGAGTCATGAGAGCTTATCGATAATTCCACACAGTTCTGAGCTGGAGGCTTTTGTCCAGTTGAAGACACACATTAATCCACCCTCTCACCTTTCAGCTGGGCCAGCACTTCTTGATTCTCGCTGAAAAGAAGGACGCAGAAGTTAACAACCGCCTCGCCGTTAACTGGCTGATTAAAGCGGCCAAACAGGGACGAAAGACCGCAGCGAAACTCCTTCAGCGCTGCTGGATCCAGAAGAAAGGTTCGTGTTAAAAACCTCGTCGCTAGCGTCTTTGTGTTTGCAGTTCAGTAACCGTCCGCCGCCTTCCTCCCCAGGAATCACTTCGGAGAATGAGGCCGACGTGCGCATGTTGTCGACAGAGAGCAGGTTTGAGCTGGCCGTGCGGAAAGCAGCCATGATGATGTACTGGAAGCTGAACCCGGACAGGAAGAAGAAGGTGGCTGTGTCTGAGATGCTGCAAAATGTCGACCAGGTCAACACAGCGCCGGGTAGGAGGCAGATACTGCAGCACACATGAGGAGCAGGATGTTTTACTATACTCCCTGATGCTCCAGCAGGCCATGCGATGCTCACCCAAAGTATGGCCCTGCCTGAGCATCACACGTTTCATCAGAACAACACCCACGGCAGCCATGGAGGTCCTACTGGACCTGACTCCACTAGATTTATACATCTTAGGGGAGGCTGCATCCAGCACGGTGAGGTTACACCAGTCTGTTAGGTGGAAAAGCCTATCTGACTCACAGCACACTAGAATCTGGCATCTCTCAATGACCTTCAGTGTACACAGAAGGAAATATTCATCCTAACAGATGGCCAAGATGCTATTAGAGCTCTCCGAGGGCCACACTTTACATCATTATTGGCTTCAGAGTGTGCCGAAGCAGTCAACCAACTAGGGAGAGATAACAGTGTTACTGTTAAATGGGTACCAGGACATACTGGCATTTAAGGTAAAAAGAGAGCTGACTACCATGCAAAAGCTGGCAGTCAGGCCCACTTCCAAAGACCAGAGCCTGTTGTAGGTATCTCAACAACAGTCTGTAGGACTGCCCTACAGGCCTGGATTAGATGTCGACACTCAATTCGCTGGAGGTAGATGGACTGTAAACAGGCACGGGAACTGATAAATGGCCCAAATTTTAGGTTAAGGAAAGCTCTCATTGCCCTGACAAGGAAAACTTTAAGTACACTTGGTGGGGTCCTAATTGGGCACAATCTGCTCAATCTCCAAAAAATGGAGGTGGGATTCCATGACAATGGTCTGTGTGATGCCTGTGGCATTGGATTAGAGACCTCTTTGCACTGCTTAGGCCAATGCCCGGCTCTGAGCACTCAAAGGAAAATAATTCTTGGGGAACCTTTTATGGATCTCGAGAATCTCAGAACACTGTGTTTCTAAGCAGGTGTCCTTCATTGGCGGGACGTGAAGGTTTGATTAGAAAGAAGCTCAGTGTCTCTTTGAGGAGAGTAATAGGCCCACTAGGAGGCACTCACTCACATGGGGTCTTATCCATCCCCATTTACCAATACCAATATTCCAAATTGTGATTTCAACATTTGCAGCTGCCTTAAAAATCTATGGCAATGGCTTTTGTTGTTGTCATTTCTCACCATCAGGGAGCATGGCAAGCAAGATTCCGGTTCCAACCTCAGGCCAAACCCAGAAAGTGTTGGAGTGCATGGTCAACAAAGACTGTGGGTATAAAAAAACAGAAGCAAAAAAATTAAAGAACCTTTTTGTTTTGTTTTAAATCACCAGTTTTCTGCTCTTACAGCCAATCAGCTGGTGGACTTGGATGACTTTGTTGAGATAACAAAGAATTATGCACAAGGCATCGTCTCACCTGTTTCTCCAAAGGACAGCCAGTTCTCACCCAAACCTGAGAGTCCTGCTCTGTCTGAGCGTGTCAATAAGGTATGAATACCCAGTTACCTAATATGAAAACAACTGATCTCCAGAACAGTTTTGGCAGTTACGTGTAGGTGTGAGCGTGTGGATCTGTTTTAAAGCACGGGACGGAGGGAGTTTCAAAAGGAACCAAGAAGGTGTTGAAGCATTCGTGGAGTTTTGGTTGCAGTGGGATGATGCTGGACACCAAGCAGACCGGTGCCATGAAGTCCCGCTTGATGGTATTCACATACAGATGTTGTGTGGAGACTCTTATCTGTTTACACAATTCATCTGATTATTATTTGGTTCCCATCTGCCCATGTTCCTCAGATGCTGCAGTACCCGCTGCATGCGGTCATCGCGATGAAGGAACGCCTGGTGGATTGGGCGTCGAGGGCTGGCGTCATGTGGCTGAGCACCATCATCCCCACGCAGCACGTCAACGCTCTCATCTTCTTCTTCATCATCAGTAACCTGACCATTGACCTGTTTGCTTTTGTCATCCCCCTGCTCGTCTTCTACCTCTCCTTCATCTCCATGATCATCTGCACGCTGAGAATTTTCCATAGCAGCAAGGTTTCTGGTTCCTTTAGGTTTCCTGCAATGCCAACGCATTCTCACTCCCAACTCGTCAACATATTGACGCTTGGTCAGGTAGCCTTTTGCGTCCAGTTTTGACATGCCAGGTAACCCCCGTGCGTCAGTTTTTTACGAGATGAGGTGGAGGAGGACAAGCGTGTTTTCATATTTTTTTCAAGAGTAGGAAATGCGCAAAACTAACCATCCTAGACCCAAAATTTAACTCCTATTAGCCTTATACAGCCTTTCCCTGATCCCAGTGCCTAAAATTAACCATTAATCCTGATCCCTCATATTATATCCACAGACCCCTCAACCCAAAGACCCCTAAGTGTCGCAACCCAGAAAAGCCGTGGGCGGCAAGGACTGACGCGCGGGGGTACCTGACACATCAAAACTGGACGCAGACGGTCCCTGACCAAGCGTCAATATGTTGACGAGTTGGTAGTGAGAACGTGTTAGCAATGCTGACTTGGCATTACTTTTTTCTTGTATACCCACATAGCAGACAGGTGTGGGCCAGATCTGGTGTCAAGCTGGTACTGATGGCTGACTGCTGGTACAGTCAACTGCATTTGTGGACCAAGTCTGATAAAGATGGCACTGTTTTTAAGAAGGCATGCCACAACTGGGCCAGATGTGGTTTGCTTTACGTGGTCAGAGTCTGTCTGTGCCACAACTGACCTGGGTGTGGTTTGGTTTATGTCGTGCTGGACCATGCATGGACCATCTCTGGCAAACCACACCTAGGCCACCAAAGTCCCATCATTTTTGTAGTATCTGGGTCATGTATTGTATTGTTTGAGTCAGAACTGGGCCAGACAAATTTTGCTATGTAGGTATTTTTTCTTTTTACTTCTTGTTCTCTTTTATCAATTGCGTCAAGGTCAAACCTGTTTCTGGTATGCTCTAACTGAAGAACCATTTTCTTTTTATTTTCCAGACCTGGGAGAACTTCCGGGCACTGACGTCTCTACTGACACATTTCGAACCGGGCCTTGACGTGGAGCAAGCAGAGACCAACTTTGGCTGGAACAACCTGGAGCAATATGTCTATTTTATGATTTCTGTCTTTTTCGTCATCTTCTCCTTCCCGGTGGCTGACAAGAAGTGGATTCCGTGCTCTGAGCTTTCCACGGTGGCCATCTTCTTTACTGCTGTCAGCTACCACAGCCTCAGCCCAGCTGCTGCAGCGTACGCACGCAGAGCCTTGTTCATAGAGGTGGATAACTAACTGGGTTTCCTTTTACTCTTAGTTTTGTCTTTCATTATTATCATTCAGTCTCAAGACAAGCAATCATGTAATTGCTTTGCTGTCTTGCACACGACAGCATAAAGTTAAGACATTTAAGTATTTAACAAAATATGATTGTGATGTGAATATGAATAAAACAGTGCTGTTGAGGTGCTGTAAAATATCTTTGCACTTGTTTCTGCTCAGGTAGCATCTGGTCTGTTGTACCTGACCCAGTTACTGCCAGAGGACATGACAATGCTTCGTTTCCTAGGACGCACCTTCACCACGCTGCCGCTTGGAGAATCTGTGGTCCTGAAGCTCAGTCTCCCCTGTCTCCTCTATGTTTACCTCTTCTACCTGTTCTTCAGGTGAGCAGATGTAACAGTCCGGTTTTACCTCATTGTTTCAGAATGAATTTGTGATCTGTTCAGCCTGTCCTTTATGTGAAGTTGCAGTCCTTCAATGTTTCCTTCTCATCCCTCAGCATGGCAAGAACCCGTGGTTTCAGCGGAACTTACTGCTTCCTGATTCCGTACCTCGTCTGTTTCATGTGGTGTGAATTCTCAGCGGTCCTCCTCCAAAACTCCTCCGCCGTGGGACTATTACGCACCTGCGTGGCGTACTTTCTCTTCCTGTTCGCCCTGCCCGTTCTGGCCTTTGGCCTCGCGGCCATGCTCTTCATCCAGCTCTTTAAGTGGTTCCTCGACCTGGAGCTGACCAAGATGATCGTCACCTTGGCCATCTGCGCCATCCCTGTCACTCTGCGGCTCTGGACGCGCTACAGCATGTCCATCCTGGACGTGTTCCGCTCTTTTATGCACTGGGGTCCGGTCAAATTCATCCTGCTCTGCATCTCCATGGTGATCCTGCTGTTCTCGGTTTACGTGTACCACGCCGAGGGGCAGAAGGTGTACAACTCCACCCTGACCTGGGATCAGTACAGCCAGGCTTGCGGGCCGCCTGCATGGGAAGCCAAAGGCATGGCCCAGACGCAGATCTTCTGCAGCCACCTGCACGGGCACAGGGTCACATGGGTGGGTCAGTTCAAAAGCGTCCGTATAGCCGAGACAGAGAACGGACCGCAGTCCGTCATCAACATTTTGCCGGTGTTCATGGGCGATTGGCTGCGCTGCTTGTATGGTGAAACGTATCCGAAATGCGAGCCAAAGAACATCACGTTTGCAAACCTAACAGCTGCAGAAGCAAACGGTTCGTCCGTTTCTATGCCTATGCTGCTTCGAATGCAAGAGGAGGAAGAGCTGTGTCAGGTTAAGGCTCTGGCCAAACACTCCTGCCACGTCAAGCGTTTCGACAGCTACAGATTTGAGGTGACGGTGGGGGTCGTGCGCGATGGAAGTGCACAAACAGACGACGCAGCCAGGGATCTGATCCTGGTGGCCAGCCACGAATTTAGACAAGTTCTGCTAAATCTGAGACCTGGAAACGTTGTGGAGTTTAGCACTAAGCTGGAGGGTCGTTTGGGATCAAAAGCTCCCGCCTTTGAACTCAAAGCGATCCACTGTCTGGACTGTGCGTCATCCACGCTGAGCGGAGGTCGGCAGGTGAAAATAGAGAGAAACTGGAGGCGCACCACAATGAGAGCCCTGGAGTTTGCTTTTGATTTTTTCTTTTCACCGTTTCTATCTGCAAACATCGCCGCCTGAGAACATCAAGAAAAATGTCCAGAGATTTGAACTGATTATGAGTGAATTTCTTCAGAATAAATGACCTTTTTCTGGTGTGAATATTTTATTACAAATTTTATTCAAAGTTTGGTTTACAAATAGTCCTAATACGTGTGGACATAATGTACTTGTGTTTGGACATTTTTTCTTGGTTATTTATGAGCTTACAAATTTACAAAAGTTTTCTATTTTGGTCAGATGGTCAGACTTGTTAATGTTAATGCTGACTTCCGCTGGAAATGTTACCAATAATTATTTACATTAAAGAAACTTATCTTGTGTTTGTGCAGCAGCTGTCTTTTGTATCTAAGGTTTTTTTTATTGGTGTTCACGTCAAGACTCAAATGTCAGAATGACAAATTTTAATCAAACCTTTTAAAAGCAATCAGAGGATATAGATCTACAACTTATAAACTTTTGCAGTTCAGTCAAATCATTCACTTAAAACATTTCAAATGACTTTCTGAGGTCTGACCATCGATCAGACTATTTTCTTCAGCAGCTCTGAATAGATCTTACAAAGCATGACCCAGTAGACCTCAGATTTAAGAGGAACAATGTGGATTCCATCATGTTCATGGAACACTGGACCACTTCTTCATCAAGGGTCCTTTAGGGGCTTGGAAATCTGCCCAGCAATGTGGTCGGCGTGCTCCATGAATATGAGATTATGGATCCAGTAATCACACCACAGATTGATAATAAAAGTCCAAAGTATTTCTGTCGTATTTTTATATTATTTTATTAATGCACATTCCTTTCATTCATCTCACTTGAGTAAAGTTTTTATACATTTAGAATTGCATTTAGACTTTTTTTAAAGTATGATAGATATACACACAGTTAGCTTTGAATAATGACAACATGCTGCTGCAGCTGCTGTGATCCTGAACACAGATCCTCCACCAGCTGTGTGTGGTGGTGGTGGTGGTGAGGATGATGCATTTACAGCTGATATTCACCACTGGAGGGCTGAGCGCCACATGATGCTGAAGTAGGGGTGTCACTCTGTGAACATGTTTGTTTGTTTTTTTACATTTGGGTCAGATTATGTTAAACCAATTGGCCAATTGCAACATAAAAAGCTGGCTGAGGAGAAAACAGACAAGTGGGGAATGTTTGATGGAAGTTCAGTGTCTTAAAAGTTTGTATTAAGAAAATAAAAGTGATCCATCAAATTTCAAAGTTTGATAAATGTGCACAGAGATTCCTCCAAACTTTTAAGCTTCTGACCCACAAAGTAGCATTGGCAGAGGCAACCCCAAATTATACAGATTCGAGCATACAATCATTTTGTATTTTGATTTCTAGAGTTTATTTGAGAACCCACAATTGTTTTTTTAATAACCCACAGTGGGATCCTGACTTCAACTTTGGGAACGATTGAATTAGACCACCTGATCACTTAAAGCAATAGTTAATTTTTTTTTTTTCATAATTGTTCTTAAAAAGTTGAGAACAATCAATATCTTACCTGTTGTAGATAGCTTTTTGACTGACCTCAGTTTGGAGAGAAAGAGATTAATTTTCCTGCAGGAAGTGTTGTTTTTAATGTTATTAAAACAATGAAGTTTATAAAACATGAATAGCATTTGCAAAATTGTTGGAAGTTGAGTTGTTTTAAGATGACATCACTCTGGTCTTGGCCTCATTGGCTCATCAATGTGGTCAGAATTAAATAGACTTATTTACAACAGGTAAGACAAAAGCTACATTCATGACCCTTACACAAAACTTGTTTCTTAAGATTGAAACTATTGTTTTAAGATCAAAGCATCCCAGAATTTAGAGTTCAGTCTAGCACGGTTATTGTCTTACTGTAGTACATGATTAGCATGTAGCGTTATGAGGTATATGGTATGACAATTACAGCATGTGACACAGAATGTTAAATTCACATTATTATTATTGTCTGGACGGAACAGATCTTTTAGCAATGTATACATAATGAGCTATTGCACTTACAATCACCTCTGACCCTCAAACACTCTACAGACACAAACATTACATCTCTGATAAGCTGAATCAGGGTGTCTCGTTTTAAAAACAATGTGCAAGTTTATATATTTTTTTTGCAATTGCGAGATCCCTTATCAAAATGTGCTTATTAGAAAATGAACAAGACTCATTGTATTAGCAGTTCCATTATTTTAACACCAATCAGCCTAGATTTGAACTCAAAACACTCTGCCTTCTCTGCAACGTGTAGTTACGCAGAGTTTGTAGAGGAAAAGGCTTTGACAAAAAAAACATTTAGGTTCTGACTCACTAAAGATGTTTGCAGCTTTTGCGGGAGTTTCTCAGGTGCAGACGTCTAAATACAGAAGAGCTCTTGCAAAGAGAGCTGTGTGCCTCAAAGTGTGCTGCCAACTAAATATTGCCTCTCTGAGCAGCAGTTAACAGAGGTTTAATGTGTGCATTTTTTTAGATGAAACCCATTCGGTAAATAAAAGAGGAGCAATCTGCTGCACTGCTGCCTTTACTGAAAGATTGCAGGTATGTGAGGAAAAGTATAGCGTAGTTCATCTTCCTTTCCAGCAATGTGTCAGACATTGTTGTGTTAAAAATAAATGGTCAAATATGTGCATAAAACCCTGTAATTACTGTTTTACATTCTGATTTGAATTTTATAACTGCAGGACATTTCAACAGAAAGTGTTTCCCATCCAGAAGCTTAAAAGCAGAACCCAAGGTAAATAATTCTCCAAATAAGACCTACTGTATCTTCAATGCACCTCTAACATGGTCAACTACCAGTTTGAGGGTGAATATATATTTTAAAATGTATTAAGTGAAAATAAAAAGATATAATTATGATGATAAAAGGTTGTGTTTGCGCTGTGGTAGAACTAGCGCTACTTGTTTTGAAAATGCAATGCTGAGATTGAAAAGATGCAAGAGTTGGAGCTAAACTTAGCCGCTACGTAGTTTTAGTGAATCAGGACCTAAGTGTTGTGATATATACTGTATATACAATTCACTCTGCCCTCCCTTCCAACAGCTTTCCGTGTATTGCTACAGATAAATACCTAATAAATTGTGAATTACAGAACCCATTTGTAAAAGTAATCTGGCGCAACAAAACCTGTTAGTTTCAAGGAACCGAAAACTCTTTTAAAAAAATGGAGCACAGAATATTTACAACTTACTGTAAAAAGTGTGTAGATGTTTCTGGTACGAGTAGAAGAAAATCTCACGTTTTAAAGCATAAACACTGTGTCGCTGTTGTTGTTGGTGCTTCTTTTCCTAAGCGAATAGGGCAAAGGTTACGGGGCGTTCTCAAAGAGCACTGCTCTTAAAAGAGTGGTTCAGCAGCTGCTGTCACTTGACAGAAAGGGTGAATGGATGTTGTGAGAAGATTTACACCTGACACTAATCCACCTTATAAATGCCTTGATGGAAATGAGAGGTCGGTTTGTCCAGACGTCTCATGAGCCATATGATCTGTAGCCTCCAATGGTACCGAGCACTTCCTGCTTTGTGTGCAATGAGTAGTGAGTGGTGCAACATGGTGGGATTAACAGCTCTGAGTCACTGCAGATGGAGAGGCGTCCCTGCACCTCGTTCCCTGCCTCTGTGACAGAAGAATTACACAAACATCTTCAAAAAGTGGGAGTGCAACAAATACAAGTCCTGATGGCACTGGACATATCAGTCCATCTCAGTGTGAAAAAAATTTTTCTTCCTTCGTGATCGGATAAATTATTAGTCTTTCAAATTCAACTAATCCATCTTCCAAAGGCCAAATCTCTTTAAGGTGTGACTTGTTCCTCAAGCCTCGCTTAAAACATTCAAATATATTCAAGTTTGTGTTTTTGTGACGGTTTTGATAAAAGCACCACGTGTTTGTGTTCCCGCTCCGGTCACTGCCCCTCGGCGTTGACCCGATCCTGGAAGATGTACAGGTTGTTGGTGGCCGCGATGGCAATGATGTTCTCGGACGGGTGCCAGGCCATGTGCAGGATCTTCTTAGAGAAGTCCAGGCTGTCGACACCCACATCGCCACGGCGCCGCTTGCCCCCCGTGTACACCCGCCGGGTCCGCAGCACGGCCCGAGGCTTGCTGCTTTCCCGCCAGGCCTCCAGGGTCACGCCGCGGCCCGTCTCCCTGTCGAACATCCGGAAGAAGCTGTTGTATGCCCCCGTCATGATCACACTGGAGGAGAGAACGAGAGAATTGATCTGATGCCTGCAAAGCTCGTCTCCGGCATCGATTTAAATGCTAAATGTTGGCTAAGGTGGGGAATTAAGAGGATAGCAGGAAGCAGCAACGAGCAGTTTGTTTGCTTTGGATAAACTGTACGTTGTTTCTTTTCACCACTCACCTGTCTGAGCTGTTCCAGACACATTCAAACTTGTCAAAGATACAGTCATTCTCATAAAGGGCACACAGCTTACTCCTCAGGTACTCATGGACCTAAAGATGGAGCAGACAAGTCCATGTTATAATCAGGGATGATCCACATCACCATGTTTGTCCTGGCTTCATGTTAAGCTAATCTTCTTTCTGACACTTCCCCGTCACGCGAATTACATGTAAGTTCATACAAGACCAATTCTGAAAGGTCTGCAACAATGTGTCAAAACAGAATGCAATAATTTGCAAATTTCATAATAGAGTAAAGAAAAAATGTCAAATGTTTAAACGAATTCAAACTCATTTTGAATTTGATGTCAGCAACACAAAGTTGGAGCAATATTTCCTACTGAAAAGCATTTTTTTTTCTTTTTCTTGTCTGAGCTAAAACTTGTTAAATAGACTGAAGCAAAATGTAAAACTGTAAATTTACATTATTTTTGAAAGAATGTGATTATCCAGCCTGTTATTAGCACACAGTGCAGAAGGCTGCCTCTCTGGTGGCGTAGGGGTGCATTAGTGCCTACACATCTGGAAAGGCACTGTAAGAAAATTTAGTGTTCATTAACTGAAATCGTTACGAAACCACATGAATGTTGAATAGATTAAAATGCGAAGAGAATGGACCGTACAACACCAGTTACTGGAGTGAACGCTGGTTTAATGCTGTCTGTTCAGGCAGGAAACCAACGCTGAATGCAAACCGGAAGACCAGGTCCATAAATACACGGGTCTTCAGTGCCTGGTACGCCCACTACAGGCCCACCGCTGAATTGCAGACACTATGAACAGCAATGCTCTCCTAATGTTTTTATTAACGGTTTATTATGTGTTGTGATGGTGTTTCGGGCATGTATCTAAATCTATTTTAATCAAGACATAACAATAGTCAAACAACAGATTATAAGAACCAATAGTTAAAAAGGAAAACTATGAATATGGTGTGGTGCTTCTAAAATCAGTTTCTAAATGACTAAATAAATTTCTTCAAACTCCCCCTGTTCACAAGACAATTACTCATGTGAACAGCACCATCAATGAAAATAAAAGTATGAACATGTTTTAAAATATGGGTATGCAATTCTTTTGGTATTCATATTTCACACAATGTCTCAACTTTGTCACAAATGACAACATATTTTTGCTTCAAAGTCTAACTTAAAAAGGTTGGGCTGTCTTACTTGGTAGGTTTCAACCGGGCCTTTGTCCATATTCAGGTCCCACACCTTGGCGGTGAGGTAATCTCTTGTCAGCAGGTAGCGTCCACTGTGGCTGAACTTAACGTCCGACACAGAGGAAATAATCTCTGAGAAAAAGGAACGGCTCCCCGGATCTTCAGGCTCCTCGAAAACTAATTCAACACAGAGCCAAAAGGTATCATTTATTCAAATAAAATACACTGACATGCTTTTTTTAGACTGGAGTGTGTCGTGTTCGACTGCGCACTACACACGGGAACGCCACGCTCACGTTTGGTGTGCCTGTCGCAGAGGGCCGAGGCTCTCATGTCACAGAGGCGCAGGGTCCCCTTGCTGCTGCTGTACACAAACAGGTGGCAGTGCTGAGGGTGAAACTCTGCTGCTGTTATCACCTCCGTCAGGTCCTCCATGTTGGCCGGTTTGATGTCTACAATGTCTGTGAAGAAGCTCCATCAAGGAACATAAATCGCAAAAGTGTAAAAATCAAATTAGCATTCATGAATTTTTGTGTTTTTACAGGAATTTTGGAGGAAAGTATTTTTTTTTTATCTTAACCTCAAATCACAACCAACCAGACTGCCCCTTGACACAAACACTCACTCTGTTCCTCACTTTGTTCTATTTGTGTTGCAGCAGTCCTGTGTGGTTTAGTAGGAAGTGAATTATTCAAACTACTCCACAGATGCCTCAGACTTTCTAGGTCAGCTTCCACTTAAATTGGAAAACACCAAAGACAGCCAGTACAACACGCTGCAGTCTGGGCTGAAAACGCTCTGGGTCAGAACGGAAATCTAACTTTGTGTCTTCATAGTTTGCATGGATAGAGGAGTATCTCAGATAAGCAATGAAACTATTTTGAAGGGTTATACATAAATGTGTATAGTTTAATTTGTCAATTTAACTGATAATGAGCTATAATATAGTGTTGGAATAGTTGAGCATTACTCAACACACATTCTTGGCAAATTGTCAATCTAAACTAGGAAGAAACATGATTGATTACATTTACCAATAAAAGAAATGGACTCCTGACATGAATGTGATGTTTCTATTTCATTCTCTTATTGCAATTACTTTTTTCTTTTTAATGATTTTTTCTTTTCTGACTGAACCCCACCCCCGCCCCTTCCACCACCACCTCCAAGAAAAGCAACAAAAAACTATTAGGTCTTTGGTGCAGCTTTGGGAATTTACATTTTAACAATCTCTGAGAACATTCCTTCAAAAAAGAGATAAAGCATCATTTACAAATCAAAGGGAATCGGATGTCTTTGACCTTGTGTTTAAATTTACATTGTGGGATAAACCCATAAATCATGAATGGAAAGGATACTGAAGCTGCGGTCTGTGATGTCCAGATGCCACATATTAATGCGAAGGTCATCAGCAGACAGGTAGGTTTCCCCATCGCTGTTGACGGAGATGGAATTGATGTGGTACGTGTGGCCATTTGCAAACACCCGCCTGGGACGAACCTCCACCATCAAATCTGTTGGTTTTAGCACTGGCACCTTGGATTCAAAAGAAATGTGTAAGACTTAAGAATTAAGACAGTATGAAACTTTACCAGAAGTTAAAAAAAGTAATCAAGTGACACAAACAGATAAAAGATGTGAGAGGACAAGAGAGTCAGCGATCACACAAAGAACAGAGCTCAGGATTTGAATCCCTGAATGTGACCTTGACACATAGATGACTGAACATTATTAAAGTGTGTTACTGTGTGTGCAGGTCTGTGTGTTTACATTCAGAGAAGTGATGGTGGAAATGTCCTTAAGTCGTCCCTCCTCATCTTTCAGGTTGTATCCTTCTGGTCTCTTGTCTCTCTCACTCACCTTCCACAGTTTGATGGTCTTATCTGTGACAAACGTCCAGAAATTTGCATCAGAAAAGTTGTTTCACTTCAGGCAAAACTTACAGAACAAACAGCTCTTACAACTACTGCCAAAATCCTTTGAAATTAATGTCTTGCCTGTTGTAGATAGCTCTTTGAATGGCCTCATTTTGGAGAAACGGGATTTAAATTCTGAAGGACTGGTGAGCTAACAGCTAGTCTGAGCGAAACCAAAATAGACTGTTGCTATCTTCATACAATCACAAACATTTCATCATAGATCACACAAACACTAATATATAAACCTTTAAATTATCTTCAGTTTTGGACCGCAGAGTTATTTTCATAGATCAGATCTCAAACTGGTCACCATCTCATCTGTTTGGTTGGGATTATACTCAAAGAGCTGCTTATAACCTCTCCACAGAACCCCACTTCACATCTTTAGAACTATCACTTTAAGTGGACCCACATTTTTAGTTTTGATAAGTGTTATCAATTGAACTATTGCCTTTTTTTAAACTGGGTTACATTTCTTTAATATCTGATTCATGCTTTGCCAGTTTGAGAACATTTTTAGTATTAAACGTGAGCAGGGTGTTGTAGAAGTTAGAGCCAGGTGGCATTAAAGTTTAATAAAAGTTACCAAGTCCTTTCCCAGGGTCATTTGAAAATAAATCCTGTTGGAACCCAATAAGGCTCTAATGTTAGAGATTGAGCTCCTCACCGTTGGTGGAGAGCAGGAAATGTGCTGCATTCTGCTGCGGCAGCCATCTGATCTTGTTGATTTTCTCCTCTATCTCCAGACTCTTCAGGTAGTCAAAGTCCGGCTCGTGGCTCTGGAACGTGCTGTAGACATTGTACTCTCCGGAGTCCCCTGTCTCCCCTGTCTCCTCAGACTCACCTTTAGACTAAAGGAAGTGAACAGCATTCGGTGACAACCTTTTCACTGTGTGTATGGGTACATGATAAAAACCGAGCCGGGCACAGAGAGTTCTGCTGGTTTCAAGTTAACCTGACCTCTGTCTCTCTTTGGAAGATGACCACTCGGCCACCTTTATCGCCTGTGGCCAGCAGGTCCCCTGTCTGGTTGAACTCCACTGTAGAGATGACATCAGCTGGGAGGACGAGAGAAAAATGGGAAGCAATTAGGCAGGGTGATGGTGGGAATAAATAAATGCAGTTTGAAAGGGAGAAATTTGAACACAGGTAGGTTACTGTTAGTGACCAAGTGAACAGTGAGTCATGTGGCTGTGTTTTGAAAGGCCAGTTTATGAAAACTTAGTTTATCCTACTGGATTGCACGTTTGAAATAAAAATAATCTTTAGACCTCGACATTTCCCTTGGATGTTTTTTGTCGGATAAAAACTCCTGTGCAGCTGTCAAAATGCAGCGCTATAATGTTCACGAGGTGGGTTTGAGACTTCCTCAGAAACTATATAAGTGACCAAGTCCATCACATGGTAACGTAGAGACAAAAGGAGACACACAACCACTCACACCTAGGGGCAATTTAGAGTTACAAATGAACCTAACATGCATGTTTTGGATGTGAGGGAGAAAACAAGTGCCTGGAGAAAACCCACACATGCATGGGGAGAACATGCAAACTCCACACAGAAAGGCCAGGAGGAGAAACTGCAACATTTATGCTGTGAGGCGACAGCTCTCACCCCTGTACCATCATCCCTGTTACAACATAATATATCTTATTACATTGTGTTGTAATATACCATGTATGATACATCATATCAATCTATCATTGCTGTGTTGCATTGCATCACATCGTATTGTATTACATATTGTATCATGCTGCACTGTATTGTATTGTATCGTACTGAAACATATTGCATCGTATCGTATCGTATCGTATTGTATCATATTTTATCGTATCATATCCTATTGCATCCTATCACATCACATCGCATCATATCATATTTTTCTGTGAAATTATGCATCATATATGATTTTGAATCCACGCAAACAGGACTGACTCACCTTCGGTGACGTAGTCTCGCAGGAAGGTGTGGTTGACTTTGGGGCTCTCGGCGTCCTCGCCCATCTGAAGCTGAAGGAGGGTTACCCGTCACCGCTCCCGTTCTGAGGGGAAGGGTCCAATCTGTAATTTCTCTTCCCGCCCAGTCTCCGCCCATGCTGCTAGGGCCTACCGTAGCGGCCTGAAGCAAGGCATCCTGGTGGGAAAAAATTGACCGTCAGGGAAGGAAGAAAAAGAAATGCAAGGAAGGAAGGCATGCGATGAGGGACAAGGATGGAGGAAAAAGGGAAAAAAAGGAATTGAATTAGGTGTGCAGTAGATGAAGAGCCTAATGAGGGAAGCAAAAAATCAGAGCTGTCGCTCAATTTGCGAAATGACGTTCCCCTAATGACACATTTCATTTCCTTTTTTAGCAAAGACACATGTGTTGAGAAGGCCTAGTCAGTGCTGAATGAATCTCTGCACTGTGGAATGGAAACAAGACAACAAACAGCTCAAGCAGGGAAAATGAATCCACACATACAGACATAAATGCAGGATGACTGAGAAAATGAAAACAACCTCAATATTCATTCTGTAAAATGATCCCAATGTTATAGTCAATGATCTAAGGGTGTGGTAGTCCTCCCTGCCCTCCTTCTTTCATACACACACAAATACAAACACACACTGCTCAGATAGATAGTCCTTGACGAAGATCAGAGGAGAACGCGGCGTCTTCCCTCTGCTGCAGGAAGGTAGGGAGGGGGAACAGGCCTCAGCTCACCTACCAGTCCGCCTGCTGCTGCTGCTGCTGCTGCTGCTGTTTGTACACGTCCCTCTGCTGCAGTGTGCTCGAGCAAGGCCCTGGTGTGTCCGTCAGAGGAAGGGAAGCAAGAAGAGGAAAAATACAGAGCAAGGGAGGTGGGATGAGGAGGTGAGGCAAAAAGGGAGGAGGGAAAAAAGAGAAAGAGAGAGGGACAGCGAGAAGGATGGAGGACGGCTGGCTGCTGATGCTGAGGATGGGATTCTGTGCAGCATCCACTGTGTCATGGCAGCCTCCTCTTGGAGCAACCAATCACAGCACAGCTGTCACTGGTGGGTCCACCCACTGCAGGTGGTGGGGAGAGGTGGAGACCAGCAGAGGGAGCCATTCAATGAAGAGAGACGTGAGGTCTGGTGGATGATTTTTTAACATAGTGCTGCAGCAATACTATTCAATATTTGTGGTAAACAAAAGAGCTGGGCTTTCAATTGTGCAGGGTTACAAGGATAGGAATAAAACAAATACTACTATGAAGTAATAAAATAACTCTAGTGGTTAATTTGTTTGTACAATATTAAATTGCATCCTTTGTTAAATCTAAACTCTATTTTTACGAGTTTTAATTTATATCATTTTGCATTTTAACTTTTATGGTTTTATTCCGTCTTGATCAGAACTGAACTACTTGAAAGAAGAGATGAATTAATGAATGTTTATGGGCAATCCCAGGACAGACTGGCATAGTTTTAAGTGAAAGGTGTAATAACACACTCTGACTTCTAGAGTGCGCCCCTGAGTTCATACCAACCCGGTTGCTGCCATTATTAAACCGTAGAAGAAGACACCGACCTGAAGACGAGAGGAAAAAATGACAGGGCGCGCAAAAAGAAAATCCAAAGTAATTCAGGTAATATTACCCTCCTCTAAGCGCTTTTGCTGATTTTAAGGTACATCTGTATAGAATAGGGGTTTAATTGTCCGGGACATGCAGCTTGTCTCGGTATCACATTTAGGCAACATGTGAGAAAGGAAAATGGGCAGAAGTGTTTGATCCGATGAGTGAGTGGTGAGGCGACAACATGGCAGCAGCTTTATTACCACCGACCTGCAAAACATGTCCCTCAGTCACACTAAAGCTTTGAATTGTTTTTACAAAACATACACTAACCATTGTAAAGTAGTGATAGACAAACTTCTTGTTGTTCAACAGCAGGAAAACATATTCATTTATTCGTGTTTTTAGCTATTAGGTTGCTTGTTTCAGCTAATTATAATGTTGTTTTTAGGTTTTGCAGCACATACTGAGTGCAGGAAGTCCCTCTTTACCCTATTTGATGGTGCTCTGTCATAAACACAGGTGCATTATGTAATAAATAGTCGCCTTGAAAATACCTTCTGACAAATAAAAATATCTTTTGAGTTGATTTTTATAGAGGATATCGTGTAAAGTAGAGCGTATCACTAGGAATATACATCCGAAGTACAAATTAGTTTATTTAACAGGTTGATCTGCACTGGAATGTGTTAACTAATCTGGTTGTGTTTGTTTCTTCTTCGTCTTATTTTATCAGGACTCGGACTCGGTCAACGGAGACGTGAAGAAAGCCCGGCCCGAGGAAAGCAAACCTGTGCCGTTGTCCAGAGTGAACAAAGAGCAACGCGATGAGTTGGTGCAACTGTACAGGCTTCCCATGCCAGAAGATCTGTACCACTTTTGGGATTTCTGCGAGGAGCTCTGTCCTGACAACCCTTGTGGTATGTTCGTGCTGAAGTGCAACGCTAGCAGCACAAAAAGCTTCATCTGGAGTTTAAAGAGGTTTCTTTATCAACTTTATGAAACAAGAAATGAAATGGATCCAATCAGCTTTAATTATTCTTAGCCAGCAGAAACCTTAAAGGCGTGGACTTAATCAAATGGAAAATATATATATTTTATAAAGTTGATGCATTTAAGGAGGCATGCGATTCTTTATTTGTTTTTATTTATTACTGATACGTTGATGTGTATATCAAATTTCAAATATAAACCCACTAATATTGAACACTACTGTCAGTGTTTTTTGTGCTGATTTTACCTGTATGAACCTGCGCAGGAGCTCTAAAAGACACCCTCGGTTTGCAGCTTGTTGGACCTTTTGACCTTCTGGCAGGAGCTCACAAAAACGCCAAGACTCCTCAGCCCAACTTTCACCTTCACTGGAGGTTTTTCTACGACCCCCCGGAGTTTCAGACTGTCCTTACTGGGAGTGAGGCCAGCCAGCATCACATGGGCTACTACAGGTATCACGCAGTGTTGTAATGTTTAGTGTCAGACTGGTGATGTGTGGCTGTTATTATGCTTCTTTTTAATCAAATTGTTTCCTAATATCTGCCAGGGACACGCCTGACTCGCTTCCTTCATTTGTTGGTGAAAATGAAGCAAAGAAGGGCTACTCGATTACACAGATGGGCGATAACCTCTTTGCAGCTGTCTAGTGAGTTTTAACTCCCTTTTCTTTGTCATATGTTTTTATTTTTATATTTATTGTGATCATGTTCTAGCTGCTTGGCAGTGAATGGTAATCTTCCTCCATTTTTTCTCCATCAGTCTATACCTGCTGAGGAAGAAGAAGGAGAGGAGCAGTAAAGGAGCAGAAGGAGAGGCTTGGAAAAGCTTGGAGGTGAAGCTTCGAGAGAAGGCTGAGAGTCTTGGCTTTTCCTTGGAGCAGAAGACCAAAAGCATGAAGCAGCGGGAGAAAAAGGTAACGTACAATGTAACATGTAAGACTCTTTATGGACCCGTCTGATTATCCTCCAAACAAATGTGTCAGGAGTTTACCTTTGTATCTCACTTTACACATGAACATCCATTTCTATTTTGTTGCAATGCATCAGAGACAGTCTGTTTCCTTCATGTGCCACTGACTTTATTTGCAAAGAAAAAAAAATGTTAAGGGTTTTTAATCCATGGCAAGATGAGTCATTATATGTAAAAAGGACATGAGCATTACTTTCAGTTTGCTGGATTTAGAAAACTTTGTCAATTTTTTTACCTCTAATTCTTTGCCTCTGTCCTCACATCACTTTTGTAGCTCTCTTTCAGAATGTATAAAACATTTTATAATTTTAACCGTTTATACTTAATAATAATAATAATTCCCTTATATCCCATCATAGGTGGTAACCAAAACATTCCACGGTTCAGGTATTGTTGTGCCTGTTGACAAGAATGATGTAGGATACAGAGAACTACCAGAAACAGATGGTGAGCTCAAATATCCTCTACTGTTGTCCTGTTTTACTCCATACGATTCTTAGTTTCATTCCTATGTTTGAGCTTATTTAAATAAGTTTATTTCCGTCTCTCCTAGCTGGTCTCAAGAAGATCTGTAAAGCCATCGCCGAAGCACGAAGTGATGAAGAGCGTGTCAAAGCCTTTGGACCGATCCAGGAGATGATCACGTTTGTTCAGTTCGCTAATGACGAGTGCGACTATGGAATGGGCTATGAGCTAGGAATAGATCTCTTCTGTTACGGATCTCATGTGAGTATTTAAAAGTGGCATGTGGTAATAGTTTGACTTCTGGTTAAGAGTATTTACATAATGGCACAGTGACATAAGGAAAAAAAATCTGCAGCCCTACTTTATTAGAATTTTTAAGGGTCATTCACTTATTTTTAGAACTAAAGGATTGGTTAGCTTTACATCCCTTTGACTTGGTAAACAATAGATTTATGATGGTTTCTGGTGCTGACAAGCCCAAATGGTTGAGATTGAATTGGCACTTGTTTATTTTCTTGCTAGCATCCTAACCTTGTTAATCTTTTGTTTCTTCTCTCTTGCAGTACTTTCACAAGGTTATCAAGCAGCTTCTGCCCATGGCCTACAGCTTGCTGAAAAGAAGTTTGTTTGGTGAAATTTTGGAGGCCCACCTCTCCTGTCGCAGCCATGACAACCTGGACCAACTCTGTGCGCAATAAAAGAAAAGTAAAAAAAAAAAAGACTGAAGTAGTCCCTCCAAAAGTTTTATTTCTGGTTCTTATAAGCTTTCCCACCATGTGTTTTAAATTTCTGTTTGTCTTTGTTAATGTTTTTGGTGGTTTTGTTGCTGCTGTCACTTATGGAACTGTTTCAGTGGTACGTTGTTTGTAAAAGCTAGATGTGTAATAAAGCATTTTTATATTTTTACAAATTAGTTTTTGGCACTCTACATTTTTTATGCAGTTAAGCGCAGTAATTATGTATAATCTACCCCAACTTTTAACATAAAACTTCAAGTGATGCTGTTACTTTTGTTAAAATAGTTTATCAATAATAAATCCTCTATTACGTCTCTAAAATATTATGGTTTTGAACTATGGAAGTCAGCTTCCATAAAAGCTACAACTTAGTGAAGAAAACCAGACCAATTTGGAGAAATATTGCATTACGTAAACCTAACCCTAACATTGTTAGTGTTGTATGTATGAAAATAATGTTATTTTATAAAGATTGTGGGCATCAAATGGACATTTTACACTAGATTTCTACAGCTGCAGAGGGCAAGACAACAAATAAAAGGGGACATAAAAACATTGGTGCATTCATGTGTCACTGGGGGAAAACAACTTCATAATTAGTTTGCTTTGCTTATAGGCTAATGCAATTTTGTGGGACTAGAAATTCATTTTTGTATTACGTACTTTGTTCAAATCCAAAACAATATTTCTGATTCAACATTTCTGAGAGTAAAAATGCAAAAATTTTCCCAGTTCTCCAGGATTGGTTTTAATATAAAAGCTAAGATAAGATGTCTGACTGTCCTTGAAGGCAGCACGGATTCTGCGGAGTTTCGGGAAAGCGCCTCTGAAGGAAGCGCGTGCACGTGTCCATACACATTCACGCGCAGGGTGCTGCTGCTGCACACCAGGAGCATCCCTGAACTGAGGGAGCGCTCGTTTCCCTCTCCCAGTGCGGAACAAGTCGCTGCGTCGGCTCTTTTTCCTCACGTTTGTTTTATTTTATTTTTTCCCACCACAGGCTGTCAAAGACGGACGCAGAATGGTCCGGGGCCCCGCCGAGCCCTGTGGATTCTGAGGCCCGCGCACGAACCCACCTTGCACCGGCAAGAAGACTCCCCCCCCACCCGCCTCAGTCAGTCACTGACCGCACCGTCTTCTCTGGCACTCAGCCCAAGACGGAATGTCAAGTAGTCCCGAGGACAGTCGCTCCAGGGGCGGCGGCTCCGACCGTGACTCAAAAAAGGCCTCCTCGAGCAACACGTCCCCCGAGGGTGGACCTCCACCGCCGCTGCACCAGAGCCGCATACGGCAGGTGGGTGTCTGTCCGTCCGCAGCCTCCGTGGCCCGGTCAGCCGTGGAACGACTCTCCTCAGCCCGCTGCTGCTGCTGATGCTGCGCGCGGAGGCTGAGCGCTCCGAGGCGGTGCCGAGCAGCTGTAATAGTCTGATAAACCTTAACTAGCTGCTAATCAGAAGACAAGTTAGTGAAGGTACCAGATGTTTTCATAAGAGGTTTAAAGTGGCCTGGATAAGAAAGGTGCGAAAAAAAAAAAACGTAGGGCCAGCTGCGGCAGCTGACATGGCCGACAAAAATAAACACCAGCACATCTGCAGAGGTCTGTTTATTTATCATGGCAGGTGTCAGTAAGACTTGTTTACATCATAATTGGAGCTCTACAGTGCAAATCAGATGGGGCCATGTTACACTGTGACCAGAGGGCAAACATGTCTGCCTCCAATTTAGACAAAAAACATCTTTTGTTTAGTGTCCTACTTTGGTTTGTCAGAATTTATTGTATAATTTGTGTAAAAGTTCACAATCGTTTGGGTGACAGAGTGTGCCTGCTTGCAGTATTCTGTTTCAGCACAATAGATTGTCTGCATGTGGTGTTTAGACTTGCAATGTGACTTTTAAATTCATATGTTGCTTAATATTATTTTATCTGACTTTAAATACACAAATAAATCTTAAAACTTAGGATTGTGTGTTTTAGTTTAGTTGGTTGATGTGAATCAGGAGATGGTAAAGATCTGTTTCCTGTCTCTATGCGCTCAAATATTGTAATATTATTTCAGTAATGGACTCTAGCGAGACACACACTCACAAACACACACACACACTTTTGGCTCCTCTCATTGGGTGGGGCCTTCAAAAGCAGATACTTTGATGGATCACAGAGGTTTCCTTGAGTTGCCTCTGATAAAACAAACAAAAATGAAAATAAAAAACAGAAGTATCTCTAGCAGGCTCAGGTGTTTGAGTGTCGATCACATCATTAACCAAAAGCCCAGGATTCTAAATATGTTCATGTTGTAAGCTCATTAAACAGTAATAAATCTCCAAACTTTAACCCAAAATATAGGTGCTCTTTTTTAAAGACTTAATTAAAAAACTAGCTACACTAATATATTAACATTGTTAATAAGTGTTACGTTGGAGCTTCTCTCCCACTCAGGATTACAACACATGCACTGTGTAAATTAATGAACAACATAGTTGTTGCAAAACTAACTCACATACGTACAACGGTCAGATATTTCCGATTTTGGATGCAAGTAAAACATTTTAAAGTAAGAGAAAAAGCATTTTGTGCAAAATACAATAAACATGAGTGCTGAATGAATTTGATACAATTTTCTGATAAAACTCAAACTGTGTTAAACCTAAAAGACACAAAACACTAGTTAAAAACTAAAAGAAGCTAAAAGTGCAAAACACTAAATAAAAAACAAACATAGCAAAAGGCCAGCTGCTAAATGTAGCAAAGAGTAGCAAAACAGTAGCTAGAAGGTAAAAGTAGAGAAAGATTAAACAAAGGCAAATAGTCACAAAACAGTTAAATTCTAAAAATAGCAAAACGTTAGCAAAAAGTTTCAAAAATGCTAAATAAAAATCAAATAAAAAATCGAATAAAATTTTTCTTTCTGCATCCTTTTTATTCAGTGTTTTAAATACTTTGTTTCTTTTTCAATGGATTTTTTTTTTCAATAAATGAACTAAAATAAAGAAAAAAATTAGGAACTGTGTAGCAACTTCAAAATGGTGGTCCCTTTCAGATAAAACAAAAGGTGTGGTAGGTAAACAGAAGTCATTAAAGGGGCTGCTGCAGTAATAGATTCATTTTCCTGAGACAAAAAGAGAGGATGACAAAGGGCCACGTGACATGAGGATCTTACTTGCAGGTCTAAAAATACTGCCTGACTCCAGTGTGGTATTCCTGGAGAAAAACAGCCTTTTTCTAGCCAAGTATGTCTGCGTCTCTGCTTACTGAACTGACCCCCGTGTTAATGGACTCTCACAGGTGTCTCTGGGCAGATGTAGTTTGCACTGTTACTTGCCAAAGCATTTTTTTTTTTTTGTGGTTGAATCAGTGAATTCTGTTTTATTCCTGGTGTTGAGCGAGAGATGGGTACCACTGGTTTATGATAGGCAAACCTTGTTTTTTTTTCAGACACAGTTTATCTGTTTCTTACCCTGCATACACCACATTGTTTTAGTTGTCTCTGCTCACCTCACCATTCATCTCTTCAGTTTCTTTCCTTGTTTTGACAGGAAGCTTTGACACTTTGCCCCAGTTGTCTCCTTGTCCTCTTGGCTGCCAGTCCCATCTCCCATTTCTACAAAATGCCCCAGTCCTGGTCTCGCTGCTCCCTCTCTGTCCTTTTCCCTTCCACACTGGTAAACACTGAGGCCCCGTTGTGCCGGGAGGTCGGATTACTCTACAACCTTTGACATTTTCGATCTCCCTCTTTTCCGCCTCTCTGTCTCCAATTCGTACACGTCTTTCTCTATCTGCCTGCCTTGCTGTCTGCTGCTCTTTTTCCACGGGGAGTGGTAGGATGGGACTCTGCAGGAAGGGAGTACTAATGGAGTCATGGCCTTCATTACATTAGTTATGGACAACTACATCAACGCACACCCACATACCTTCCTGTGCAGGATGTGCTGGACTGGATGAGGTACCGGCAGGTGCAGCTCTAAAGCATGGAAGTCTATATGACACCCTCGACCAGTAAATTACACATCAGTTTAAGTGAGCTTTTAGAGCACCTTCCTGATTATAAATGCTTACGTTAACACTTGTGGATAACCACAATCACATCCACTGATGTTTACCAAAAGCTTCGTAATTACTTCCTGTACGATCTTGGGATGATGCAGCATTATTTGGGTGTTTTTTTTCTATGTGGGCAGGATTTGTTTGTCTGTTCTTACAGACATTTTGAAGTGGGTTCTTTGGAGAGGTGATAAGCAGTATCTTCCCTATTATAGATAGCTTTTTGAACAACATCAGATTGGAGAAAGGGGGTTTAATTCCAACTGGACTGAGGAGCTAATGGCTAATCCCAGTGGGATTCTTCCAGTGATGGACGTCTCAAGGGCAGAGGAACCATTTTCTGATGAGTCATACTTCTTCATCATGTGCTTATCCCTTTTAGGCAAAAGTTGTTTGGTTTCATTTAAGAAAAAAATGATTCTGTAAAAAGAAACGCAAAGATACATATAAACTGATTAACTCTTCAGAATATAAGAATTAGCAGCCAGACTGTGGAAGCATCATCACATTAGCTTGAGTCGTATTCTGTTCCATAAGGCGGGCGTTTTTGAATAGGGGCAGTGTTAGGAATTTTGAGGTTAATTATTCATTATGGCTTTATAACTTTGCTTCCAGTTAGAGAGGACTAGAAAGAGGGAGAGAGAGAGCAGGGTGTGGTTGAAGATCAATGCTCTTCTCAGAAGCTGAGCTCAAACACCTTCATCGCTCCTGCTCTCGTCAGCTGGTTCCTCCTACTTAAACCATTATTTCCTTGTTTCCTCAGTATTTTTATTTTGTTGGATCTGTGAGAGTAGCAAGGCTCATGGGACAAAAAAAAAACATATCAGAACATTAGCCTGTTTTTTTCAGGTGTTGATGCAACCACTAATTCAGGTCACTGGAGAGTTGCAGTGTACTTTTTTCTTGCCTGCTTGCTTTATTTTAACCTCATACTTCTTAAGGTAGATAAGAAAACAAATGGGGAAGTATTCGTTTTTCACTAACAACCTTTATTTCCATTTATATGTTGTGCTACAGCCCTTCATGGATCTGTTAGGACGCAAAATAAATACATATTTATGTATGAGGTTAAAATAAAGCGAGTAGGAAAGAAAAAGTGCACTTTCTTCTCTAAAGTTTTGCTGTTCTATCGTTCAG